GCCCTCTCAAAAAAAAAAAAAAAAGTAAGTGTTTGAATTTCAATTGTTAAAAATGGAAACACCACAAAAAATTCTTTAAATCATTTTCCACCCATATGAAATGCTGCAAACTTATTTTTCAGACATTTGTGAGTCAAATTATATCCTTTTAGAGTCATCAAGATAATTCCACACCCTTTTTACAGTGTTGGTCCTGAGCCAGACAATTACTCATTTTGTGCAACCCCATTCTCCTTATATTGACCACTTTGCAGAAATCAACACTTACAGCCAATGAGAACTGAGAACAAAATCCCAGCCAAGTCTTACATGCAAAAGTCAATAAATGTAAAGGAAAGATCATCTGCAAGCCATCACTGGTATTTGCTACCCTCTGGTGGTCAACCTCAGGAAGTTTCTAGACCATAAAATGAAACAGTACACATGTCACAGACGGCCCCTCTGAGGATCACCTAGGCCAAAGCCTTCATTCATCCCATGGGACTTGCCAGACATCCAACTTGCCACTCTACCCCCAACATCTGGGGATATGTGTGGGGACACTAATAAAGAATAATGTTCGCATCAGTAGGACAAGAGCAGCAGCGTTAACCTGCCTCCTCAAAGCACACACAATGCATCTATACAGACATACAACCGACCCAGGGGGAGCTGTTGATTTCAACTCCCCAACTCTCTGTGAGAACAGATGACTGGCCACATTACACAAGTGTCAACAGAATCAGTATCAGTCAACACTGCCTGGTCAGTTTCAATTAGACACACCCTTGTGAGTGCCATACATTTTCAAGGCATTACTCTAAGGAACCCTTATCCTCCCCTCACTCCACTCTCCATTATGTGACACCGTTTGAGGACGCAGAGGTCTCACCATGCTCCTTATCAGCATATTTTCCATTTCTGTCCAATCCCATTCAGCTTAGTCCCCAGACCAAGTCCTCACATGTGCAAGGGTATAGAGATGCTCCTTACTCAAGAGGACCAGGCTCTGGAGGATTTTCTAGAACATTCCACAGATCACCATTAACTACTAAATAATACATAACCTGATCATCCTTGTGTTCAGAGTCTTCATTGTGGGATGGGTGGGTGGGTAGATGGATGGGTGAGATGAGTGGATAGATTGATGGACAAACTGATGAATGGATAGGTGGGTGTATGAGTGTGTAGGTGGAGAGGTAGATGGATGAGTATGTGGATGGAAGGGAGGGAGGAGGGAAGAGAGGGAGGGAGGGAAGGAGGGGGGAGGAAAAGCCTTCCCTGACATTTACTGCTCTACTAGGCCCTATATTGAGACTGAATAACAAGCCATGATCTCTCCCCACTAAATGTTCTGTTAATAATAAAAATGAGATCAATCTCGATGACAAGAAGAGATGAACATAAAATGACTCCAGAAGAAAATAAAAAGTAGGTAAGCACCTAGTAAGAATTAAAAAGACAAAATAGATGTATAGTGGTAGGCATAGAAATTGAGGTTATTAATTTGAGGGGACTGAGTAAGCTTCAACTCAGGGAAAAGTGTCATAGCGTCTGGCTCTGGGTCCTCAGGGAAGGGAGAAGATCTCATTCTGACGCTGGCTGACCAGCCCCAGCCCCAGCCAGTGACCGAAGCGCACGGGTTCGGCCCTGCAAAACCAGGCCCCCGAGGGAGCATCGGGGACATCTGTGGGGATGTGCCAGAGCTGGGAAGGGTGACACTGCAAAGCCAGCCAGCACAGGCGGCTCCTGACACTGCCCCACTACGCCCCCGTGGTTTAAAGAGCCACCCGTGACTCAGGACACCCAGGTACCCCACCTCATCTTCTTTGTTGTTCTAATTTTCCACAAACCTTACAGTCAGAAGGTCTTGGGAAGGTCATTCAAGGACACACTATCCCCAAACCCGTCAACAGCGGGAGAGAGCCTCTTGAGACACTGACAGAGACACCAAAACCACCTACCACATCATTATTTGGTCATAACTGGAACCAGTGCCACAAGGGGGACTGCAGTCCCTCGGGAATGTGATAGAGGGACCGCAGGCAGGCTGTGACCCTGCTGAAGAAGGGACACCTGCCTGAGCTCTAAACTGGACATGAAAACTAACATGCGGAAGGTGGGATTAGGAGAAGGCGTGGCTGAGAGGCCAGTTGTGCCCTGGAGCTGGAAGGGAACTTGAGCCGTGACCCTGGAGGCACCAGGGGCTGTGGAGGGTGCTGAGGTGGCTGGGATGGGCTAGGAATTCACAACCATATCCATCTGTTCTGGGCAGAGGCTCTTGGTGAACCATGCCAACCAGTCCCACCAGGATCACCTGGGAATTCAGAAATGCAGATTCGCCAGCCCCACCCCAGAGCTGCTGAATCAGGAATTCTGCAGGTGGGACCCAGTGGCTGTAGACCAGGGAGACTGCTTTGAGAGCAGGGACCAGCTTGTCTTACACTAAAATATTTACTTCCATGCAAAATCAACTCAACACATGGCCTAGCAGTCTTTACGTGCCACACTCCCTCTGCTCCAAACCAACTCTTGGTCACTTTCCCGTTTCCTTCCTCCCAAAAAGGCCTCCCAGCCTCCAGGCTTCAGCTCCTGCCGAGTTCTCAAGCCCCCACCTCCCACCCTCTGCCAGACATCTTAGTTTCCTTTCCTTTTGCTCCTGTTAATCATTTAGCCTGGTGTGGCATTTTGGACACAAATCAGAGGATGGCTATGACGGTAAGGCTTTAAGAGAAAATCTGTAAGTACAGAAAAACACTATGGAAATGAGAGATAGCCATGAAAAATAAGACATCTGAGCAAAGTTTAAAAGGACTGGGCATGCTCAGCCTTGAACAAATGTCACCATGGGGACCCGTGGTGACAGCTCATGATTCATAAGGAATGCACGCAGGAGGGTCTGTCTCTGTGCTCACCAGCAAGAGAACAAGCAGGGCCCATCTTAGGGTTCAGCCAAGAAAACATCTGTCATGTGACTGAACTCTGGGAGAGAAGGAGCTGCCAGGAGGGTGAAGAGATCACCTTCACGATGAGAATGCAGTGGCCAGGGGCACTGCCCACCAGGGCCCACCACGCTGGCGGAAGCCAGACCACGCAGAGCCCGAGGCCCATCGGCTCCAGGAGTGGTCCCCCACCCCCTGGCAAATCTGCCTCCTGGACTGAGCAGGTGCCAGCTCACAGTCACAACGTTTAGTTTCGGGTACCTAGGAATCCAAAGAACGCTGTGGACCTGTGCAGAGCGTCTCTGACCACCCTCTTACCGGGAGGCCAGGAGGCCAGGTGTGTGCTTCACGGGAAAGCCTTTTCGTTCCTCTCCCACAGCCAGCTCCTGCCTCCCCAGTCACAGCAGTGGCGGCAGCTACCATCTCAGCAACGGCTCCGAGCCAGGGAGCATCTGCTCTGTGCCAGCGCGGCCCATGCACTCCCCCTCTCAGGCTCACCATTATCATGAGGCCCATCTCACAGGTAGAGAAACTGAGGGTCCTGACTTGCCCACAGCCCCCCTGCTGGTCATGTTTGGCTTGAGGTTTGGGTCCAGGGTTCTCTGACTTCAGAGCCCACGATGATGATGTCACTCCACTGCCAGGAACCAAGTATTCAGTTCAGATGATGGGCAAGGAAGGAATGGACCTAAATTGACCCCCAAGGCCCTCTGGAGTTGGTGGGGATGGAGAACAGGCATGTTTTAACACGCATGCACTCTGCCTCCTCTCCCTGACCCCTCACTACTGCAGGTCTGGTGACACTTAAAATCAATTCTCTCCCTAAAGACCCCCATGGCCTTGTCTACACTGCTGTACACCTGCCACGCAGACCTGGAGGCTAATGGGGCTGCTGGCAGCATGGCCGTCCTTCACACACCCTCATCCACTCTAAAACCTAGCAGTGTAGCTTGTCTACACTGCCTTTATAGCCAGACGCCAGCCAGTGTACAACCACCCAGCACTCTCATCAAAGGAACCCTGGGGCCACTGGGACCAAAGGGGCAATTGTGCAGATGCTGCTATGAAGGATCCAGAGAAGCCTGGGCCCAGTTTCTGCCCCATCTTCTCTGTGGTGCAGTTCTAGGCTCTTCTGACTTACCCCCTCTTCCCTCTTTCCAGAGCCCTGCAAATGGCTGAAGTGGTTTCTCTTACAGACTTGAAGAAGGTGTCCTCAGCACCGTGACCCCGGCCTAGCGCCTTGGCCTCTCCCCTGAGCCTTCATCACTAGGCCTCATTCGTTTGTTGCACAGTCCAGCTCAGGGGACCAGCTGAGCCCCCCGAGGTGGGACTTCACAACTGAGCACCCTCCCCGGCCCTCTAAAGAACCACCGAGTCACAGGCACAGGAAGCAGCTCCCGTGGCAGGTGCAGGGATACTGACTCCGCTCAGAGCATGGGTGTGTGCAGTGTCACAGCTGTGCCAAGGGTGCGAAGGGCACCACTCGGGGAAGCTCATGTCAGGCAGGCTTCCTGTGAGGCGGGACAGACCCAGCAGAAGTGAGTAAAGGATTTTCCTGCTATTCAGACAACTGTGTGTTGATGTCAGGCCAGGAGTCAGGTGAATGAAATTTATTCCTCCTTGATGGAAAAGCTGGATTCTGGCCACAAATATATACTTATGGGTATCTTAATTTTTCTTCCAGCTTCACCAAGCTCAGTGGAGCTTAAAGCAGGCCTTTCTCCCAGGCAGAGACAGAGAGGGTCCAGAGGGAAGACAGAGCTAGGTTCTGAAGAGGAGGAGGGGGGCCTTCCAGAATTTTCTTTTCTGGCTTCTCTTTGCAAACCAACATTTGGGAGGAGGAAGAGGGAAGGGACGTGCAGAGCTGGCCTCTGGAGATCCGGCCTCCTGGACTCCAACCTGTGATGCTGAATGCCTCACCCCACACAGCCACGTGAGCATCAGCGTTCCCCAGTGAACTCCACTGAGGCAGGCCTATCTGCACCCACATGAGGCAGCTCTTAGCTGCTCTCCCAGCAGATGTATTTGTTCTGAATGACCCATTCTCCCAGGGTCACCTTTTGTGGGGCTTCTGCCACAATCCCTATGTTCCACTCACCATCATCCACAGCACACTGGGGATGCAGATGGATGAGATCCTGCAGTAGGAAGGGTGCAGAAATGTTCCCTGGGTATGGCCAAGTGGCCACCTTTATCTCAACAGTACGCCCAGCCACACTACACCAATTGTGGCTCAGGAAGCTCAGCTCCTGAAATTGTTACCCACGCCTGGAAGAGAATAAACAGTGAGGTAAATTAAAATCAGAGTCAAGTACCTTTATGGGACCCATAGCTTGGAAAGTCACAGCTAATCTTGAAGGGGTGAGCGCTGCCAGCATTGCATTGAACCATACACTCTTGTTCTTAATAGGGGAGTGGTACTGGCCATCTGGAGCCATAGAACCAAACCTGAGTGTCAGGGGAGGTGGAGGAAAAGAGAGGTGGGGTTAGCAAAACAAAAGAACATGGCACCACTTGAAATAAAGCCAGGGAGCTCCCGGCGGCACACACAGGGAGGTCTCATGGGTCTCCATATCCTGGAACCATCCTCAGGAGACATCAGAGTGGGGACGTGGGGAAAGGGCCTCCCCAGGAGATGCTGACAAAGGCATAACTCATGGAAAGTAAAAGCAAGTTTTTCACCACTACCAACCTGCAACTTGGCAATGGCCCTTGACAAAGGAAGACATGAGGACCACCAGCCTTAAGCCAACACTAGAGCTTGAGGGTGAAGAGCACACATCAATCCACTTTTTTGTTGAGATGTAATTCACATACCATGAAATCCCCCATTTAAAAGTATACAGTTCAATGGTTTTCTGTACATTCACAAAGTTTTACAACCATTACAAATATCCAATTCCAAAACATGTCATCAGCCCTAAAATAAACCCACGACATTAGCAGTCACTCCCATATGCCCCACCTTCCAGGCTCCCTGGAACCATTAATCTACTTTCTATTTCTGTGGATTGTCTATTCTGGACATTTCATAAAAATGGAGCCATATAATATGCTGCTTTTGTGTCTGGCTTCTTTAACTTAGCACATTGTTTTCAAGGTTCATGCAAGTTGTAGCATGTGTCAGTATTTCATTCCTTTCCACAGCCAACTGACATTCCATTGAATGGATATACCACTTGTGTTTATCCATTCATCAGTTGATGGGTAGTTGAGTTGTTTCCCTTTCAGCTATTATGAATAATAATGCTATGAACATTTGTGTACAAGTTTTGTGTGGACATGTGTCCAATTCTCATGTGGACCATGTTTTCATACATACCTAGAAGTTGAATTGCTGGGTCATAGGAAAAGTCTAAATTTTGGAGGAAGTACCAAACTCTTTTCCAAGTCAACCACACCATTTTACATCCCCACCAGCAATGTATGAGGGTTCCAGTTCCTCCACATCCTCATCAACACTTGATATTGTATTTTTTATTATAACCACCCAAATGAATGCAAAATGGCATTTCATTATGGTTTTGATTGGTATTTCCCTAACAATGATGTTGAGCATCTTTTCATATGTTTATTAGCCATTTTTATATCTTCTTTGAGAAATGTCTATTCAGATTTTTGCCTATTTTTTTAAATTGGGCCATTTTGGCTTTTTATTGTTGAGCTATAATTGTTCCTTTTATATTCCGGATACTGGACCCTTATGACATTTATGATTTGCAAATAACTTCTCCCAATCTGTGGACTGTCTTTTTCACTTTCTTTAATGTGTTCCTTCAAGCACAAAAGTTTATTTTGATAATTTATCTTTTTCTTTGGTTGCCTGTGCTTTGGTGTTACATCTAATAATAAATCATTAGTTAAACCAAGGTCACCAAGATTTATACTTGTTCTCTTCTAAGAGTTTTATAGGTATAGCCCTTACATTTAGATCTTTGATCCATTTTGAGTTAATTTTTATATGAGATGAGCCAACTTAGTGCATTCGCATATGGATATCCAGTTTTTCCAGCACCATTTGTTGAAAAAACTATTCTTTCCCCACTAAATTGTTTTGTCACCCTTGTTAAATATCAACTGACCATAAATGTAAGGATTTATTTCTAGACTCTCCATTCTAACCCACTGTCCACACATTTATTCTTAGGCCAATACCACACTGTATTTGGGTTGTTGTATTTTCTTTTGTTTTGCTTCCTACCTGCTGTCAAAGAGATCCAGTGTAATACCATTGTCTTGATTACTGTACATTTGTAGTCAATTTTCAAATCAGTACAGATCAATCTTAGTGAAAATATTTCAGTGAAGAAAGTAAATCACAAGTATTATATTATTTTTATAAAAATAAAACAAAAATAAATGATTGATAGAAATGAACTAAAACAAAACAAAAAAGAAAAACAAAGAAAACAAATTCAGAATTGAATATAATGGTCAAAGAGGCAGTCAGGGGGGTGGGTTGTAAGGTGTATCATTTTACAAACATCTATCCCAGTAAAGAGACTGACGGCTGCAGAGTTATTTTTACGCCTTTACATTCAAAGCTAAGCATCCGTTTCTGAAGGGCGGGGGTCCGAGAGCATCTCACCTGGACTCCTGTGGCCATGTCCACTGTGGAGAGGACTTTTCCCACAACAAGACTTCAGCTGACAAAATTCTTTGTTTTCTCTGCCTGAAAACACAACAGACCCAATGTCAAGGTTTCCCTATGGTTTTCTGACCTTTCAGATTAATGTTTTTTCATAATAAGTGTATATTAGTTTTAAAATTAAAAATCAGAACAATAAAAGCAATTTTTAAATTAAAAACAATCCCAACACCCTACTGACACAGCCTAAATGTTTTCATCCTTGTTGAATCTGACCACAAGTGAAGCCTTCACAGACTATTCTGACACAGTAAAGTCGGCTACACCAGCTTGGAGGCCAGGCCCCAGGCAGACTCCCGCCTGGCCTCACGTGGCCCTAACCAAGTTTATTCCTCCCTCCCTGGAGCACGATGCTCCCACGAGTCTGGGTTCTGCTGTGCGACAGCAGCGCACACCTGGCCCCAGAACAGGTGACCACCTTAATGTGAAGACGGGATTCGGAAAGTGTGGGAACACTTTGGATATAGGAAAAGCAGTATTCTTTCCTTTCCTTTCTAACCACAGACCATCTCAGTGCCATGATCATTTAAAAAACATGACGTCCGGCTGCCCTTCGTTGCCCTCTTCTCTCACCGTCCGCAGCAGCCACAAATCCCAAAGCTCCGTGAGCATACTCTTCTCCACCAGAGAAATGAGACGGGGCAAAACACTGTCACTGCTCTATTTTAAAAATTCAGAGGCAGGTGGCATTTCCTTAAGAGGTGGTGGGCCCTAGGTACACAAATTGTAATTATCCATTTGTTGGAATCAATGCTTATCTTTCTTGTTCACCATTCTCTTCTGAGACCCAGCCAACAAAGCCGGTGCCTGCTGCCTGTGTGCATGTGTGCAAGTGTGCATGTAAACTGACCCACCAGTGGTGGGATGATAACCACCCTTCCTGGATGACTCTGTTTCCACCCTGGCTTAAGCTCTCTCCCAGAACACACTGTTTTCCCCTCCCGTAGGCTTCTGAAGTGTTTCTCTCAAGCATTAATTTTATCAAACAGTGGACTGTCAAGATTTATGACTGTTACTGTGGCTCCAACCCAATGCATCTTGTATTGATTATTTCCTAAAATATCTCCAGGCCTGAGCATAAGCCATTGCATGGCTCCAGCTTTGTTTTACACTGAAGAGTTAGTTACCAGCAAATAATAAAAAACAACTGTAGCAGATATTTGTGGACTTTTTTGGAGGGCCCCGTGTCCTCTGTACTGCAGATCCTCTCAACAACCCTCCACGAGAGGCTAAATAGGACGGGTTATAACACAGGGAAAAGTCTAGGTTCAGGGAGGTCCAATCAGGGCCATCTTTAAGTGTAGAGCAAAGGCAGAAATCACATATTCAGATTCCGCATATAGAGGTCTCACCCCCACCCCTTGCTGCCCTTCATTGTAATTCTAGAGGAAGCCCCAGGACTCTGGACAGCCCAGCCTTTATCACTGGGTCCACCCTTATTTTGTAACATAAGCCTCATCCCCAGAGAGCACCTGACATCAATATGTCCTGGTACCCAAGTGACGTTCCTGAGAATAACCCCACCCCACATCATCACAACAACCCTTCCTCACTGTCAGTCATCGGCTCTGCCGCAGGCACACCTAAACCACCAGAAGTCAGTCCCTCAGAATCTCCAACTGCTCTTAGTTTTTGTCATAGTTCATTTTCTCCATTTACACTCTTGAGGTAGGAGTATGACTTTATAATTAGTGATATCCAACTGTGGTCATTTTTACTCACCAGTTTGAAGTAAATCACAATCATGTTTGCTAAAGACTCAACCCCAAATCTGACAGTCTTGGAGCATTATAAATTGTCCATGATTATTTTCCCTCCCCAGTGTCTGCACAAGACATTGATCTTGGCTACTGGATCCAACAGGCAATGCCAACAGGAGTGAGCCATTAACCCTCTGATGATGATTTAAGCATTTATTCGGACTGGTCCATGTCGAGGAGTCAAGCAAATGTTCCAGAACTAAGACTAGGCTTAGTTTAATTGACTGCCTTACTATCATGTATTTTTAACATCTTCTCCACACATTAATTCTCTTTTTTCTTCCATTCTTTCACTTCTGATTCGTTTGTTGTTCTTAATCTAATAATGTGTAATATTGACAAGGTTCCCTCTCATTCCATTGGCAACATAATGAATTGTCTATATGATAATGATCAGTCAGTAATCGATGTGTTTTTTGGCATACATTTTTACAGTATTTCTAGGGTATCGATAGCTGCCATCTTTTAGACTTGGTATATTTAAACCAAACTCAATTCCCATATCAGAAGGTTGGTTTGTAGTCGCTTTACATGATAATGCTCCCATAAATGTGTGGAGAATATACCCAGCCTTGCATTTGGTCCTAAACTATACGCCCTGCTATTCATATCTCTGCTTGATAAATTCAATCTTAAACAGAAGGAAGGTAGTTTTCCCTAAAATAGCCCCCATTTCTTTGTGGAGCACTTAATACATCAGACCTTTGTGATGCAGCATTCTGTTACAGAGTCAAATTCTATTTGATTTTTGGTTTCATAAGCCCAGAGAGTCTCTAAAAAGTCTATCTTGTTCAACTAAACTCAACTTGATTCAGCACTGCTGAAGTGTCTATAATCTGAGCTGCCTTCCCTCTAATATTAAAAGACCACTCCCCTGGCATCCCTTTGGCAGCCCCCATTAGGTGCCCAGCCAAGGGAACTGGGCAGAAAGAGGTCCCCAATCATACTTTCCTAGTATCAGTCCTCAAACTGCTTCTTCTATCTTCTGGTTTCAATTTTCTATTTTAGTTATGTCTTCTCAGTCTTACTGAATACATGCCCTCTGTTATAATAGCCTCAAATTATTTCAGAAAGAGGAATCGGAGTGAAATGTACAAATAAAATTAACAAACGGGCTTTGAGGATTCAGCCATCTGAGGCCTGCTCTCAATGAGACTCTTGCCAGTGGGCCAACCAGTCCTGACCCTCCCTCCAAAAGAGAACCCAAGTCTGACCACTTCTTACATCTCCCACCACCATCGTGTACCTGGACTAGCGCAACAGCCTCTCAGCTGGCCTCCCTGCTTCCACTCTGTCCCAACATCAGACATTGTCTTTATTATTATTATTATTAAACCTGACATACAGTGAAATGCACAGAGCTTAAATGCATGAGCTCTGGTCAATTATCTATCTGTGAAAATATCATGCCAATTAAGGTTATAGAATGTTCCCATTCCCCACAGAAAATGCCCTCCTGCCCCCTTTCAGAGAATCCTCCCCCCTCCAGAAGAAACCACATTCTTTTCCTCACCACCCATTAGCTTCGCTTTGCCTCTTCGTGAACTTGCATAAATGGAATCGTACAGTACGTTCTCTTGTGTCCACCTTCTTTCATGCAAATAAGGCATCCATGTCATTTTATATACGAGTGCTTCATTATTTTTTATGACTGACTAGTTTTCCACCTACAAATATTCCACAATTTGTCCAGTCTCTTGCTGATGAACATTTGGGTTGTTTCCAGTTTGGGTTAATTATGAATATACCTGATCCAAGCATTCACATACAAGTCTTCTTGGGGATGTGTTTCCATTTTTCTTTTGTAATCCCCAGGAATGCAATTGCTGGCTTGAAGGTAGGTTTATGTTTAATATTATAAGGAACTGACAATTTGTCAAAATGGATGGGCCCCTCCTGCCAACAATATATGAGAGTTCCAGTTTCTCCACATCCTTGTCAGTATTCTCAGTCTTTTCCATTGTTAGCTATTTTGGGATGTAATGTCATCTCATTATGGTTTTAATATAAATTTCTCAGATGACTGAAGATGCTGAGCATATTTTTATATGCTAATTTGCCATTTATATACTTTTAAAGTGTCTAAGTTTTTTGCCTATTTTTTAAATTGGGTTGTCTTTTTACCATTGAGCTCTAGGAATTCTGAATATATTCTGGGTACAAATCCTTTGTACCCAGACATACATTTTTCCAGATATATGCACTGCAGATATTTTTCCTAGTTTGTGGATTTTCCTCTTATTCTCTCAATTACATCTTTCAATGAAAAACAGTGTTTAATTTTGATAAAGACCAATTTGTCAATATTTTGTTTTACAAATTTATTGTTTGAGGGGGAGCCTTAAGAAAACTCTACCTATCCTAAAGTCAAAAGGACATTTTCCTGTAACTTTAGAATTTGTAACTAAACTTTGTAACTTTAGAATTTGTTTAAATGTATATCTAAAATTATGCCTGTGTGAATGCATATAGAAAAAGGGTTAACTTTTTTCTAAACCAAGTTTAACTAGTTGTTCTAGCTCCATTTACTGAAAAAACTTTCCTTTCCCATTGAATTGCCTTGCAGCATTGTCAAAAACCAACTGATCATACAAGATTTGATTTCAGGACTCCATCGTGTCGAATTAACCTGTTTGTCCTTACGCCAGACCCACCTGAGGGTAGGCCACAGCTGCAGTCCTAGCACTGTTCAGAGTACACGTCCCACCTGCTTCCTCTCTCGTCAGGAAATACAGGGTGTCGGTGACTTCCCCTGCCCAGGATCCAGCCCCGCAGGAATCCGCGCGGTGCCAGCAGCTGGCTGACGCACAAACGTGATGTCAGTGGAAACAGGTGGAGGAGTAGACCAGGTGTGCTGATGGTGCTCACACTGTGTGCACATGTGTGTGTGCACACTCTGTAGTCAACTCAGATACTCTTGTTTCCTTTTGAAATTATTAGAACATTTTAAATCTAATGCAGATGGCAGAAGGGAAACATAGAGTGGAAATACTTTAATGGCTTATTCTTGGCCTGTGGACTGTCCATAGAGACCTGGAACGAATGGGGCTCATTCCTCACTTGTCCTCGAGAACATCATCATTACTCCATACACACTGCGTTCTGCCTCGGAGCTCAGCAGATCACCCACAGAAGTTAAGAGCAACACGAAACCGGGCAGGGAAAGCTGGAGGGACCTGGAACACTCTGAACAGGCAGTGTAGCCATGACTCCATGTTTCACTAAGAGGCACAATGAATCATGTAATACTTCATTCCTGGACAT